AGGAGAACACAAAGTTCTCTCCATTAGGTCCAGCTGCAGCTATCTAAGGACAGGTGATCCAGGAAGTGACTGGTAAGTTATTCCTGCATGCCTAACACACACACACACACACACACACACACACACACACACACAATTCTATGGTGGAATAGGGACAGGATAACTATAATAAAAAGTTCTCTTGAGAAAAAAATTATTGTAATGGGCAGGAATTTCAGAGGTGTCTGCCCTGGCAATAGACTATTATAGTTTCCTAGGTTAGCCCATCCAAAAACCTCTGCTTCCTCCGTCATCTCCAAGACCACTGGCTCTGTTTACTTGGTGGTCCCTCCTGGTCCATTAGCCTCCTCCGCACACTTCACTGGGCGTTGCAGTGTCTGCTGTTCTTGGGGCTGCAAAGCTTTCACATCCTGCTTTTCGCTAGTGTAGGTTTGGTACTTTGTTTGTACTGACACTGACTCAAGACAGTCAGGCTTTGACTGACCCTGACCCTGACCCTGACCCTGATTCTAAACCTAACCTTAAACCCTAACCCAAACCTTAAACCCTAACCCTAACCCTAACCCTAAACCCTAACCCTAACCCTAAGAAGAATTCATTTGAATCAGTTCTAATGAGATGGATGAAACTGGAGCCCATTATACAGAGTGAAGTAAGCCATAAAGATAAACACCAATACAGCATACTAACGCATATATATGGAATTTAGAAAGATGGTAATGATAACCCTATATGCAAGACAGAAAAAGAGACACAGAGGTATAGAACAGACTTTTGGACTCTATGGGAGANTCTGTGGGAGAAGGCGAGAGTGGGATGATCTGAGAGAATAGCACTGAAACATGTATATTATCAAGTGTGAAACAGATTGCCAGCCCAGGTTGGATGAATGAGACAAGTGCTCAGGGCTGGTGCACTGGGATGACCCGGAGGGATGGGTGGGGAAGGAGGTGGGAGGGGGGTTCAGGATGGGGAACACATGTAAATCCATGGCTGATTTACATGTCAATGTATGGCAAAAACCACTACAATATTGTAAAGAAATTAGCCTCCAACTAATAAAAATAAATGACAAAAAAAAGGTTAATCTCATGAACTTTTATTCCTTGTATAAATTTTAAAGTTAATTTATCAAGCTTCTAAAAAATCCAGCTGAAATTTTTCAAAAAATTAATATATTAATTTTGGAAGAATTGACACCTATAAAATATTGAGTGCCCCCCCCCCCATCCAGGAGCATGGAATGTCTCTCCATTCATCCCAATCTTAGTCATCTACTATGTCTATTATTGGAGTTTTAAAGTTTTCTCTATAAAGATTTGGTTAAATTAATCCCAGGGTACTTTTCAGCCTTTACTATTAAGAATGTAGCCTTCTTATTACATTTTGTAGTTGACTACAACTGGTGCAGGAAAAAATGGTATTGGTTATTGTATGTTGATTTTGGATCTGAAGGCCTAGATAAATTATTTTCTTAGTTCTAAGAGGGTTCTTTATTTGGCAGATAGCATTGACTTTTCAAAGTAAACATCGACACTTATTATGCTTTTAGCATTGACCATTTCAGTGATAAATAATTAATAGCAACTGTGGACACCTTTAGATTCTCCCAGTCTTAAAAGAAGTGAATCTCAAGTTTCCTCTTAATGCATAACATTTTGTGCAGGTTTAGGTTATAGATTTCACTACATTGAAGGAATTTCCTCTAGACTGTATAGATTTACACTGACAAGAGTCTGGGGAATGGTCCAGACTTCACTGGGTTAAATTCATTGGCAAGTGCGTACTTACCCATGAGATAAAAGCTAATGTGTTATCTCAGGCACTTGGGTGTGACTCATGAGTCTGGATCAGCTGGACCCTGACTTGCAGTTAATGGCACCAAATTTCCTTTCAGTTCAGTTTGTCACTCATCATGTCTAACTCTTTGCAACCCATGGACTGCAGCACACCAGGCTTCCCTGTCCATCACCAACTCCCAGAGCTTGCTCAAACTCATGTTCATCGAGTCAGTGATGTCATCTAACCATCTCATCCTCTGTCGTCCCCTTCTCCTCCTGCCTTCAATCTTGCCCAGCATCAGGGTCTTTTCCAATGAGTCAGTTCTTCATATCTGGTGGCCAAAGTATCAGAACTTCAGCTTCAGCATCAGTCCTTTGCATACGTTAGAAAAAGGAGTCTGAAGTCTCAGGGAAATGGGGACCTTGGAATGAGTCTATTTTACACAGCAATACATCCTAATGACATTCCCTGAGAGGTTCCAGAGGTCACCGCCTTCACCGGGGCATCAAGACATGCATGAGAAAGCAGCAGCACCCTCCAGGGTGTTGTGGTCCCCGTCATTTGTAAGCCAGCATGGCAAAGGATGATGCTATGTCAGAACTGAGTATCCTGATTTCAGTGGGAATTCTGGAATTGCAAAGTGATAGAGGGCTAGTGTTGGCACCTAACTACCTGAGACAATGGGGGTGAGATTAGAATCCCCTCCCACACAAGTTCCCCAAATTCCTGCCAATACAGATTCATGCATTATAACTTTGTAATGAACAGAAAAGACCCTAGTGCTAGGAAAGTTTGAAGGCAAGAGGAGAAGCAAATGACAGAGGATGAGATGGTTGGATGGCATCACCAATTCAATGGACATGAGTTTGAGTAATCTCCAGAAGATAGTGAAGGACAGGGAAGCCTGGCAGATTGGCAGTCCATGGGGTCACAGAAAGTCAGACATGACTGAGCAACTGAGTAACAACAAAAATCAGACAAATGAGATCAATAAGTAGGAGGCAGTCTTATGTTCCACAATGGGCTATTGTACTGCCATTATTTTTTACAAACTCTGAACTTTCAAGTCTTACACAGATACTTTCTTAGTTCAATAATAAAAATACATCTTTACACATTATTTATTGGGAATTAACTACATGCTAGGTAAGCACTTTACCTGAATTCATTCTTCCAGTCATTCTTTCATTCATTCTTTCTTTTTTTGAAAAATTATGTGTTCAGGAAGCTATTTCACCCTCAAAAGAATCTATACTTAGTGAACTCTCTCTCAACTCTCTCCCATCAGACTGTCAGAGGAGTTCGTAATTTCCTTGGTTCAGTCTCACCGCAGCAAAACTTTGACGCCATGGATGGACCAGTGTTACAGCTCCGTGTTACAGCTGTTTTATTTAGAAAGTAAAGGAAAATACATCCTCCAGGTGTGAGGGCCTGCCGACCCTAAAGACGCTGAGAGAAGAGAAGCCCCTGGCTCAGTTTTGGCTCCTCCATATGTCTCCTCTTCTCCACCTGAGCCTGCCCTATGTAAACTGGGCTAGCTGGGAGGGCTGTTTGTTTTACGTGAGGTCCTCACTCTGGTCCTCGGACCTTCCTTTCTTCTAACTTCACGGCTTTTCCCGTCTTTGTCTTTTAGCCACCACCATTCTGGACCCCTTTTTCCTATTCTAACTACCTAGCAAGACTATTTGATCCCAGAAACGGTTTTTTCAATGTGTATTTTAGACCAGTCACATAACTTGAAAAGAAGCACTGAGTGGATCACATCCACACTGTGAATCAGGGTGCTCAATAAGCCAACAAGCGGCAGGATGATGCCCCTGTGGGTATGCCAACACCTGTCCCCTTCCAATACTTCTGTACCAGACTTTAGCGTGGACCCTGGTTTATTCTCAGTCCTTCTTTCACTGTAAAATGTACTGCAAATTTCCTAAAACCAATAAGAGCACTTGTACCATCATTACTTTCCACAGTAATATTCCCCCTCTTCTTTCCTGCAGATTTTTTATCAGCTCTTTCTATCTTCCCACTATGATGCTTCTTCAAGGGGGTGTCCTTGCGGAGTTACCTGCCGGTGCGGGGGCGTCCAGCACACCCACTTCCCCCAGGGTGAGCCCGGATCCCCCGGAGTGTGACGCCCACAGGCGGGAAAGGGGGGCGTCTCTCCATCGTGCCTCCATCCCCCCTCCTCCTCCTGGGAGCCTGCAGGCGCAGAGGAGCTGCAGGGGGCCTACCCACGAGGCCCCGCACTCGCGCTCTCCCCCACGGGGCTCCCTGCACGGCACCCCCCACACACACCCGCGCTCGCGCTCTCTCCCCCACGGGGCTCCCTGCACTGCGCCCCCCACACACACCTGCACTCGCGCTCTCCCCCACGGGGCTCTCTGCACTGCGCCCCCCACCCGCACTCGCGCTCTCCCCCCCGCACGGGGCTCTCTGCACTGAGCCCCCGACCCGCACCCGCGCTCTAGGCCTCAACCGCAGCGTTGGACCCGCGCGAGGGGCGATGAGGGGCTGGGCCGAGGAGGCAGCGCCCACCGGGCTCCCCGGGCTGGGAGGCCCTGCTCCTAGGGCCCCGCTCTGGGGATCACGCCCCTCTGACCCGGCTCTCAGAGCCTGACGTGCGCGGAGGCGGTCCGACTCACACGGAGATCAGAGGCCACGGGACCCTGGAGCCCTGGGCTTCCCTCGGCCTGGCTGTCCAGCTGCTAGGAATGGTAACAAGCCTTGAGTCGGGAAGATCCATGCTCGTCCTACGCATCTCAGCACCATTCAGACCGCTGGGTGGTTTACCAAACATTGCCTGGGAGAGGCTTCCACCGTTGTAAGTAAGTACATCCGTGGGGGAGCTCACCCTGTGAGTTGCAGCACTATTACAATTGAGGGCTGCCGCTTGGGGTCACTTTGAAACCACCGTTTGCTTTCTCTTTTCATCCTAACACTTCAGGTCCCCATAGGAGAGCCTCTCAAGTCTGGTTTTCAACTATCTTATCACCTTAAGGTGTGTCTCCAGGGTCCCTAAAAGGAATTTTTGTATCTTCACAGCGTTTAGACTTAAGTCATTACATTCCCAGCGTATCATTCACATCTGATGAAAAGTTATCTGGAATTTCAGCTTGCTCCTTAGGACAATGGTAGTAATAAGACAACCATGGCTACGTTTTCGGCACACCTATTACACAGTTAACACCTTGATAATTTTTTCTTTCTTCAGTGTTAACTTTGTGAATGGCATGAGCTCATACACTAAGACTTACCATCTCAAATATCATGAAATGAAAGCCAGTTATGTTTCCAGGCTACAGGAACACTCACTGAGCTCCAACAATGTGCCATGCACAGTGCTCAACATCTACAGTTAAAAGATGAGTATGACACAAACATACCAAAAAATAAGGACTATTGGTGGAATATTTCTAATGATTAGAATATTTCTAATCAGAAATGTCGGGAGTATGGTTTGAGAAATTAAGCTACCAAGGGAACTAGAGGGCACATCATGAAAGGCTGATGTATGTTGGGTGCTATTTTGAAGGCAGTGGGGAGCCTTTCCAATGATCTGATCAGATTCGAAAGGTTGCTGCTGGATTGAGATGGACTTAAAGGGGCAAGAAAATTATTAATGAGACATTGGAGGAAAGAAGACCAAACTGGAGACTTTAGCAATAATCCAAGTAAACAAAGAATCCCACGTCAACTCAGCTACTGATCTCTTAGCTTGGTCTCCCATTTCTACCTCTGCACCTACTCCTCAGTAGAGCAATAGATTTGCCTTTTGGCTTCTCTGTGTTTTACTTGGTTGGCTGACTTGACTTGGAGGGAAGAAAGGTAAAGGGCAGGAACATTTCCACTATGTTTTCTTCCAGGAGTTTGGTGATTTCAGGTCTTATATTTAAATCTCTGATTTATCTTGATTTGGCTTTTGCATATGGTTTAAGATAAAGATTCGATTTAATTATTTTATAGGAATACCCAACTTCCCCAAACCATTTATTGAAGAGACTGTCCTTCCCCCATTGAATGTTCCTGGTGTCTTTGTTGAATCTTGTTGACCATAAGTGTATGGGTTTATTTCTAGGCTCTCTATTCTGTTCCATCAACCTATATATCTGTTTTTATGCCAATACCATAATATTTTAATTGCTATAGCTTTGTGATATAGTTTGATACAAGGAAGTGTGATGCCTCCAGCTTTGCTCTTCTTGCTTAATATTGTTTTAACTGTTCAGAGACTTTCGTTGTCTCATATAAATTTTAGGAATTTTTTTATTTATGTGAAAAATACTGGAATTTTGATAGGAATTGGACTAAATCTATAAATGGCTTTGAGCACTATGGAATTATAAAAATATTAATTCTTCTATTTCATGAACACAAGATATCTTTTATTTGTGACTTCTTCAATTTCTTTCATCACTGTCTTATAATTTTCAATATAAAATCTTTCACCTTCTTTGTTAAATTAATGCTTAAGTATTTTTTGATGCTACTGTAAACGGGATGGTTTTCTTTGTTTCTTTTCAGATAGTTTCTGTTAGCATAGAGAAACACAGCTGATTTTTGTGTTAAATTTGAATCCTACAACTTTATTGAATTCGTTTATCAGTTCAAACAGTTTCTTTAGGGTTTTCTACATGTAAGATCATATTATTTACCAACAGAGACTATTTCACTCCTTCCTTCCTATTTGGACATATTTTCTTTCTTTTTCTTGCCTAATTCCTCTGATTAGAACTTCTAATATTATGTTAAATAGAATTGACAACAGAGGGCACCCATATCTTATGCCTGATCTTTAGCAAAAGTGTTCAGCTTTTCACTAATATGATGTTTGCTGTGTATTTGTCATATATGGTTTCTATTACATTGAGATGCGTTCCTTCCTGGTGGCTCAGATGGTGAAGAATCTGCCAGTAATGCGGGAGACCAGGGTTCGATCCCTGGGTTGAGAAGATTCCCTGGAGAAGGAAATATCAACCCACTCCAGTATCCTTGTCTGGAGGATCCCAAGGACCGAGGAGCCTGGCAGGCTGCAGTTCGTGGGGTCACAGAGTCGGACACAACTGAGCAGCTAACAGTTTCAGCTTCATCATTGCTAAACAACCTTGAACATTTGCCAGATGTTTTGTTCCTACATTATTTCAGGTGTTTTTTTGTCCTTCATTTTATTAATGAGATGTATATGTTATCCTGCCCTTGCATCCTAGGGATAAATCCCACTTTATCATGGTGTGTAATTCTTTTAGTGTGCTGTTGAATTTTGTTTGCTAATATTTGCTGTAATTTTCTTTCTTGCAGTGTCCTTGTCTGGCTCTGGCAACAGAGTAATACTGGCCTCATAGAATGAATTTGGAAGTGTTCTCTCTTCTTAAATTTTTTTAAGAGTTTACAAAGAATTGGTATTCTTTAAATGTGTGGCTGTGTGGTCTTGGATTTTTGTTTTCTTGTTAGATTTTTTATTTCTTATTCAATATCCTTGCTCATCACTAATTACTTTTGTATTTCTTCATGATTCAGTCTTGGTAAGTTGTATAGTTCTAGGATTTTTAACCATTTCAGAGTACCTATCTTATTGAGTACTCTGTATGAAATAATATTTGTACAGAATTTAGAATGGTGCTTAGAGTAAGCGCACTCAGTAAATTCTAGCTTCCCTTTCTCTTTATATTTCTGAGGGTAACAGCAATTTTAACAGACAGTATTTTTAAACATACTAGGGTGGGACTTACCTGGCGGTACACTGGTTTAGACTCTGTGCATCCACTGCATGGGGCACAAGACAAGCCCAGATTGGGACTATATTGTTTTAGGGTTAAATACAATGCACTTCACTTTATTCTGCTTCCCAAGACTGCATTTTTTTTTTATAAATAAAGATTGAAGGTTTCTGGCAACCCTCCATAGAGCAAGTCTACTGTTGTCATTTTTCCAAAAGCAGTTGCTCACTTCATGCCTCTGTGTCACATTTTGGTTAATTCTCACACTATTTCAAACTATTATATTGTGCTGTATTTATTATAGTGATCAAAATAATCCTTGATGTCACTATTGCAAAATAGTTATGACTTATTGAAGTCAAAGATGATGGTTAGAATTCTTGACTATAAACTGCTTTTTCATTTTAACACTTTTATTTTTTAAATTTTTAAAATTTTATTTTGTATTGGAGTAGACTTGATTAGCATTGTTGTGCTAATTTCAGATATATGCAAAGTGATTCAGTTATACGTATCAGTTCAGTTCAGTCACTCAGTCATGTCCAACCCTTTGTGACCCTGTGGACTGCAGCACACCAGGCTTCCTGTCCATCACCAACTCCCAGAGTTCACTCAAACTCACATCCATCAAATTGGTGATGCCATCCAACCATCTCACACTCTGTCGTCCCCTTCTCCTCCTGCCTTCAATCTTGCCCAGCATCAAGGTCTTTTCCAATGAGTCAGTTCTTTGCATCAGATGGTCAAAGTATTGGAGCTTCAGCTTTAGCATCAGTCCTGCCAATGATTATTCAGGGTTGATTTCCTTTAGGATGGACTGGTTGGATCTCCTTGCAGTCCAAGGGACGCTCAAGAGTCTTCTCCAACACCACAGTTCAAAAGCATCAATTCTTTGGCAGTCAGCTTTCTTTATGGTTCAACTCTCACATCCATACATGACTACTGGAAAAACTGAACCACTGAGTAGATGGGCCTTTGTCAAAAAAGTAATGTCTCTATTTTTTAACATGCTGTCTAGGTTGGTCATAACTTTTCCTGCAAGGAGCAAGCGTCTTTTAATTTCATGGCCGCAGTCACCATCTGCAGTGATTTTGGAGCCCAAGAAAATAAAGTCTGTCATTGTTTCCCCATCTATTTGCCATGAAGTGTTAGGAGCGGATGCCATGATCTTAGTTTTTTGAAGGCTGACCTTTAAGCCAGCTTTTAAACTTCCCTCTTTCACTTTCATCAAGAGGCTCTTTAGTTCCTCTTCTCTTTCTGCCATAAGTGAAAAAAGTGAAGTCGCTCAGTCGTGTCCAACTCTTTGCAACCCCATGGACTGTAGCCTACCATGCTCCTCCATCCATGGGATTTTCCAGGCAACAGTACTGGAGTGGGTTGCCATTTCCTTCTCCAGAGGATCTTCCCAACCCAGGGATCGAACCAAGCTGGTGTCATCTGCATATCTGAGGTTATTGATATTCCTCCTGGCAATCTTGATTCCTCTTGTGAGTCATCCAGCCCAGCATTTCACGTGATGTACTCTGCATATAAGTTAAATAAGCAGGGTGACAATATACAGCCTTGACATACTCCTTTCCCAATTTGGGAACACTCCATTGTTCCATGTCTCGTTCTAACTGTTGCTTCTTGACCTGCATACAAATTTCTCAGGAGGCAGGTAAAGTGGTCTGGTATTCCCATCTCTTGAAGAAATTTCCACAGTTTATTGTGATGTGATCCACACAGTCAAAGGCTTTGGCATAGTCAATAAAGCAGAAGTAGATGTTTTTCTGGAACTCTCTTGCTTTTTCGATGATCCAACGGATATTGGCAATTTGATCTCTGGTTCCTCTGCCTTTTCTAAATCCAGCTTGAACATCTGGAAACTCACGGTTCACGTATTGCTGAAGCCTGGCTTGGAGAATTTTGAGTATTACTTTGGTAGCCTATAGTTCAGTTCAGTCACTCAGTGGTGTCAAGCTCTTTGCAACCCCATGGACTGCAGGCTTCCCTGTCTATCACCAATTCACAGAGTTTACTCAAACTCATGTCCATCGAGTCAGTGATGCCATTCAACCATCTCATCCTCTGTTATCCCCTTCTCTTCCCACCTTCAACCTTTCCCAACATCAAGGTCTTTTTAAATAAGTCAGTTCTTCACATCAGTTGACCAAAGTATCAGAGCTTCAGCTTCAGCATCAGTCCTTCCAGTGAATATTCAGGGCTGGTTCCCTTTAGGATGGACTGGTTGGATCTCCTTACTATCCAAGGGACTCTAAAGATTCTTCTCCAATACCACAGTTCAAAAGCATCAATTTTTCGGTGCTCAGCTTTCTTAGATGAGTGCAATTGTGCAGTAGTTTGAACATGCTTTGGCATGGCCTTTCTTTGGGACTGGAATGAAAGCTGACCTTTTCCAGTTCTGTGGCCACTGCTGAGCTTTCCAAATTAGCTGGCATATTGCGTGCAGCACTTTCACAGCATCATCTTCTAGGATTTGAAAGAGTTCAGCTCGATTCCATCACCTCCACTAGCTTTGTTTGTCGTGATGCTTCCTAAGGCCCACTGGACTTTGCACTCGAGGACGTCTGGCTCTAGGTGAGTGATCACACCATTGTGTGATCTGGGTCATGAAGATCTTTTTTTTGTATAGTGTTTTTGTGTATTCTTGCCACCTCTTCTTAATATCTTCTGCTTCTGTTAGTTGCATATCATTTCTATCCTTTATTGTACCCATCTTTGCATGAAATGTTCCCTTGGTATCTCTAATTTTCTTGAGGAGATCTCTAGTCTTTTCCATTCTATTGTTTTCCTCTATTTCTTTGTATTGATCACTAAGGAAGACTTTCTTATCTCTCCTTGCTATTCTTTGGAATTCTGCATTCAGATGGGTATATCTTTCCTTTTCTCCTTTGCCCTTAGCTTTAGTTATACATGTACATGTATCTATTATTTTCAAATTCTTTTCCCGTTTAGGTTATTACAGAGTATTTAGCAGAGTTCCCTATGTTGTACAATAAGTCTTTGTTGATTGTCTTAGTCTATTAGATATAACAACAAAGATATAACCACATCTTTGTTGAATAGATATAACAGTGTGTTCCTATCAGTCCCAACCTCCCCAACCTATCTCTCTTCCGACTCTTACCTCCTGGTAGCCATGAGTTTGTTCTATAACTCTGTGAGTCTATTTTGTAAATAAGTTCATTTGTATCATTTTTTTAGCTTTCACATATAAGCAATATCCTATGATATTCATCTTTGTCTGACTTACTTTCCTTACTCTGATAATCCCTAAGTCTTCTACATTACTACAAATGGCATCATTTCAGTTTTTTTAATGGCTGAGTAATATTCTATTGTATATATGACCACTTCCTTATCCGTTCCTCTGTTGATAGATATTTAGGCTACTTCCATGTCTTAGCTATCATAAACAGATCTGCAGTGAACACTGGGGTGCATGGATCCTGTCAAACCATGTTTTTCTCTGGACCTATGCCCAGGAGTGGAATTCCAGAATCATATGGTAGCTCTATTTTTAGTTTCTTAAGGAACCTCCATATTGTTCTCCATAGTGGCTGTACACATTCTCACCAACAGTGTAGGAAGGTTCCATTCTCTCCACACCCTCTCCAGCATTTATTGTTCATAGACTTTTTGATGGCCATTCTGACTGGTGTGAGGTGGTATCTCATTGTAGTTTTGACTTGCATCTCTCTAATAATTAGTGATGTTGAGCATGTTTTCACATGCCTCTTGGCCATCTGTATGTAATCTACTTTTTAATTAAAGTGTGTACATTTTTTAGACAATGCTATTGCACACAATAGACTACAATATAGCATAAACATAACTTTGCATTGGAAGTAAAAAAATTCATATGATTTGCTTTATTGCAGTGGTCTATAAATAACCTACAGTATCTCCAAGGCATGCCTGTATAGTTTTCTGGGAAGGAAATTATGACTGCCTGAGTTAAATTCACATGCTCACACCTTGTCCAATCAGCTATAGCTAGATTGAGAGATATTTGTGTGAAGACCAAAGATGGCAACCAGGAGCTCAACCCTGGATAACCCTGGGCATTTAGAGTAGCGAGCACTTCTCAGAAAAGGTAAGAATAGGAGTGGAGGTACCCACCTCAAAAGGCATTTACTCAGTCTCATTTAGAGACCATGATGAAAGCATAAAATCTGAGCGGTAGCTCTTGGTTTTTGACAGGAAGTTATTAGCCACATAGCAAAGAGTAACATTAGTAGATTGCTCAAAGAAGCTTCCCTCAAGGAAAGTAGTAGAAAACCACAGGCTGCAATATTAAGTGTCTTATCTCAAAAATAATTAGTATTATTTTTTCTCTGTATTTCTCCACAGAAAAGGAGTCAATTTTTTCTCTATAGTTTCTAGACCATATCTTAATTAAAATGGCAAGAAGATATCCTTTAAGAATGGAGGCCAGAGCATTAGGGGTAAGGACTAAGTGCTACTTGGGTTAATAAATGATGTGTTGTATCTGCCTAATAGAAAAGGCAAGAGACATTGACCATATCTATAATGAACTTCCCTAAGGAAGGAAAGTTGATGACAGTATTATGGAGTGATGCCAATCAGGCTAGAGCTAATTGGGCACAAATTATAAATCCACAAGCCATTTTTGAATAGTTCAACATCATCACAACCTACCCAGGGTTCTAGAAAATATACTCTGAGATTGCTTATAAATCTCACCAGCCCTGAGAAGGTCCATTTCCTGCCTTTGTTTGTAAACAGTTTGAAACAAGTTTATAGATCATAGATGAGGTGGTCCAGCAATGGGCTCCAAACCAGAAGGGCCTATAGACAATGGGGCTCTATGACCTGTGGTTGCTTGATAACATTGTGATCTCACTATGTTCCCCATATAGTCCGATCAGGTAGGTCATATTCTGCATTGGTGTCTTCCCTCTCACCTGTCCTCAACCTTAGAATGCTTTAAGTTTTTTAAAAATGTTAACAAAAGTTATGACCTTTTCTATAATCTACCAATATTTGTGGGGGCTTGAAGCACATTTTGATTGAAGGCAGCAAGAGTGAAGTTTGTGCTAGGAAAATTCACAACATATCAAGTCAATGACTACCTTCAGCTGGTTGGCAGCTACTTGACCCACCTCCAGAATGGAAATGTACCTTAATGCAGCAAAGTCTCACACAGGGCAGGGTGAGGGGGGAGATGTGTTTCTCTACCCCTATCCTGCATTACCATGGTGTTTTAGGTCTGGATTGTTTGTTCCTTATCTCCTTATCTGGCCAGGAAGGCAGTAATCACAATGTGGAGAAGCCATAAGCCTGTTGTGGCCACCCCCTGACCTACCAGTACAATCCATCATCTCAAGAAAGGATGAGGGTTAGGATCTTCTATTTAGTTTCTTCTACTAAACTCTCATGGGTCCTTCACTGAAATCAAAGTAAGTCAGTGGATTTATAGCCCCAAAAGGAGCTAAAATTGAAGAGTGAGTCATCAGTGGGCAACTCCATCTGATCCCAATCCAAATTGCCACCCTTCATGTGGGAGACATAGGCACAAGTCACCAATAAATGCGTGATTATGTGTTATCTCAAGGTCAAGGTAATCTTTAAGGGAGACGAGTACTATTGCCACTTGACTTTCTGTGAGAGTTAATTGAATATGTCAGCTTACCTGGGCCACAGGGTGCCCAGATATTTGCCCTCATTGTTTTGGGTATGTCTGTGAAGATGTCTTTTGGATGAGATTAACAATTAAATCAGTGAACTTTGAGTAAGGCAGATTGCCCTCCATGTGTGGGTGAGCCTCATCTAATCAGCTGAAGGCCTGGCTAGAACAGAAGACTGATCTTTTCCATCTGCCTTCTTCCCTGCCTAACAAGGATTCTCTGGGCTCATGTGTGAGTGAGTCTCCACACAAGCTGGCAAACAAGTCCCAGCACATGAGCACACTTCACATGAGAGTTACAGAATGTCAGGGGTCATTAGAGAGCATCCCTTCTCTTGTTTGGTTTTGTTTTTTTTTTTTTAACAAAGCCTAGGGCTCTGGTCCAGCCTGTAATTACAAAAGTCTGCACAGGGTATGGGAGTGGGGCAGAGCAAAGAGAAACCCAAGTCCAAGTCCCAGACAAGAGAGGACGAAAGAAAGGAGGCAAGGCCAAAAGGACCAAGTATGCATTGGAGGTGGCCTCAGAGAACCGACCGCAGAAAGGAGGCCAGTGTCAAGGCAGGGCCCGAGACACCCCCGGAGCCAGACATCTCCTTCCTGTTGTGCGTCTGCCTGAACCAGATAGGCCTCTGCTTTTCACTTAGCTAGAACCAACTAGATTTAAATTAATTACCTCCAAAGATTATTATAAAACAAAGACAAATACTCCCAGTTTCATTAAATACCCCCAATATGGCCCTTTTACCCACTTTGGTTCCTCCCTGACGTGCTAAGTCTTTCACCACTGCTTCAGAAATACCAGGGTGAGGTGGACATTTCCATGGCCTTTCAGTCACTCAGATTGTGTGCATCTGTGATGGGCTGGACTTGAGTAATGATGATGACTCTCTCTTCTCACAGGCTGTGCAAATAATTCTTACCCTGTTTCACTATGCACTGGGCGCTCTCTCTGCTTCCTTGTTTTTCGAAGAGGATATAAGAGACACTGGCGATGTCCCTGTATTACTTCCACTAGGGTACATAGTGTGGTCAGCGCCATTTGTGAGTAAACCATGGTGCTTTTTATTTCAATTCATCTTTCTTCTAATGTACCAAGTGAATTACTCATGAGATCAAGAAATGGACTAAAGACCCAGTATCAGACTCTAAACAGCAAATTTTACTGTGGAAACAGCCTTAACAAAGTGGAGAGTAGGATTTGGGCTGGGGTGGGGAGTGTATGCTTAGGGAAAGCATTTTTATGTTTGTTGTATGTTTGATAAATCCTTTAGGAGAATGGCATGTGCATGCATAAATGATATTGAAGGGTATGTTTGAAGAGTAATAAAGAGAGTGGCTGTTTGGAAAACTATGAGGCCCTTCTTTGGCAGAGTGAAAATCCAAAGGCCTGAGCTTAATGATTTTTGGAGATTTTTAGAGAGACTACACAAGGAAAGAGAAAAGAAGAAACATGGAATGGAGAAGAAACTAAAACAGGTTTCTAAAGTGGATGTTTTGAGTAAGGAAGGATATTGTAAAAACTCCATAAGCATAGTTGCCAAGGTACCTGCCAGAGACATGCACAATTAATTACAGGACACTGTATTCAGGGAAACCCAAGGCTGTGGTCTCCCACAGGTTAATTTAGGCTCATAGCTACAACCAATCCAGAAACAATAAAATCAAGGATTTTATTCATAAGTGATGTGGCATAGTAACACAACTAACATTCCTAGTGTATCAAAGCTGAAAGAAAGTGAAGTTGCTCAGTCGTGTCCGACTCTTTGCAACCCCATGGACTATAGCCTACCAGGCTCCTCCCTCCATGGGATTCTCCAGACAAGAATACTGGAGTGGGTTGCCATTTCCTTCTCCATCAAAGCTGACCCAAGGCCAAATTTCTCTTCAGAGGACAAAAGGTTTTATTAGCCTCTGAGCAATTCCCTCTGTACTCCTCAATGAAAAACAAAGCTGTGGGAGAGGAGATTTGAGTGTAACACAGTCCCTGTGCTTTGTGAAAAGGACTCTGAAACATGCTGCATGCATACTAAGGCTCTTCAGCCATGTCCAACTCTTTGCAACCCTTGTAGCCCACCAGTTTCCTCTGTCCATGGGATTCTCCAGACAAGAATACTGGAGTGGGTTGCATTCCCCTTCTCCAGGGGATCTTCCCAACCCAGGGATCAAACATGCACCTCTTATGCCTCCTACCATATGCAGGAGATAGGTAGTCAGATATGCAGATGACACCACCCTTATGGCAGGAAGAGAAGAGGAACTAAAGAGCCTCTTGATGAAAGTGAAAGAGAAGCATGAAAAAGCTGGCTTAAAGCTCAACATTCAAAAAACAAAGATCATGGCATCTGGTCCCATCACTTCATGGCAAAGAGATGGGGAAACAATGGAAACAGTGTCAGACTTTATTTTCTTGGGCTCCAAAATCACTGCAGATGGTGACTGCGGCCCTGAAATTAAAAGACGCTTGCTCCTTGGAAGAAAAGCTATGACCAACCTAGATAGCATATAAAAAAGCAGAGACATTACTTTTCCGACAAAGGTCCCTGTAGTCAAAGCTATGGTTTTTCCAGTGGTCATGTATGGATGTGCGAGTTGGACTGTGAAGAAAGCTGAGTGCCGAAGAATTGATACTTTTGAACTGTGGTGTTGGAGAAGACTCTTGAGCATCCCTTGGACTGTAAGGAGATCCAACCAGTCCATCCTAAAGGAAATTAGTCCTGAATATTCATTGGAAGGACTGATGCTGAAGCTGAAACTCCAATACTTTGGCCCATCTGATGCAAAGAACTGACTCATTGGAAAAGACCCTGATGCTGGGCAAGATTGAAGGCAGGAGGAAAAGGGTACGGCAGAGGGTGAGATGGTTGGATGGCATCACTGACTTGATGGACATGAGTTTAAGTAAACTCCGGGAGTTGGTGCTGGACAGGGAAGCCTGGCATGCTGCAGTCCATGGGGTTGCAAAGAGTCGGACACAACTGAGCGACTGAACTGAACTGATGCCTCCTGCATTGGCAGGCAGATTCTTTACCATTAGCACCACCAAGAAAGTCCCTGGAAACATGGTACTACAGCAGTTTTAACCCTGGGGTGGTCTGGTCACCAGTGCCTCAGATGAGAGATATTCCCTCAGAGACTTTCCTTTTAGGGTTGGTCCTCAAGTGTTGGGCATTTACCAGCACTAGAACTTTCTGGAAAAGGCCATATGTCATAAGGAGAAATGCTTTACACTGACAGAATACAGTGAAAGTGAATTGCCCAATACAAAGCATCCAGAAGGATTCCCAAGTCCATGATGTAGAAGAGAAGCTTACAGTAGAAATTAGTCACAGGCAGTAATTATTCAATTTTATATATGCTGAATATCAGGCATGTTCCAAAAAGTGCTTCAGGTCTGTTTTATATGATAGAAAAACCAACCCCATTAGAGAATGTTACTGAATCCCATTTAATGAATAAGGAAACCAAGATTTAGAAAGTGTAAGTAAATTTTACAGACTGACCCAGGAAAAGTGTCAGAGGGTTTTTTTTAATCAAGCTAAGGATGCTTCTGCTTTCATGACGGGGTCTCATTTTCCTGGACTGCAAGGTCCCCAGCCCCCTTCAAATAAGTCATCTTTTGTAACTGCTGTGAGCATATGCAGATCAGGTATAAGACAAACCATTTCAAAAAAAAAAAATTCCTAATATGCTGGGAGCAACAAACAGTCCTTAGGACGGAATATGTGGAAGTCAGCCTCTAATTCTTCAGATCAAATGCTTTCTGAAACTACGTTTGGTTGATGAAATCATTTTTTCTACAGTGTGATGGATGTGGGGCAATGTTCTTTCAAATAAATGGCAATCAAAACAAGTGAAGTACATCCTCCTTGTCCCTCACAGTCTTTGTGAAACCCCTAAGCCCCAACACCGGTACAAAGGTTTCATTAATGCCCAAAGACTTTAAAATGTCGTTTCTTCTCTGTGATGGAGAAAGGGTGAATCCATTTCTTAGAGTCTACCAGTGGTCACTGCAGAACTGAAATACATAGTTAAAACCGCCTTCTTCAGAGAATTCGCTGATGTGTTAGCTCTCAGAAACGCCACTGGCATTAGGAAGAGTGTTTGGGGTCCATCAGCAGGAATGGGTATTGACAGATCCATGTTTCTGCCCCAGTTCCTCATCTCAGGGTCCATGGCCATCAGCGCACAGAAGAAGCCCACACGATATAAGGTACGTTGAAATGTTTGGAGCAAAAAATAAAAAAATTTAAAAAAAAAGAAATGTTTGGAGCAATGCCAAAGATAAAAAGTTTTGTGCCTGGAACAAACTGAGAAGAAATTATTGCCCTTCAGCCAATTTTTCTAGGAGGAAAAAATACTTTTCCAAATGTTAGTATAGGAAAAAAAAAACAAAAAAACACTTTTTATAAGGATGCCCTCCAGTGCGTCTTTTTGTGTGCAGGGTGTATGGGTGTTGAGGAGGGTGCAGTGTAAGGCATTAGTTTTATAAGGTGTCAGATGACAGGGTTCTGATGGGAAAAATCAGCTCAAGCTATCTAGTGGGGTATGTTGTCATTGTTGTTTAGTTGCTAAGTTGTGTCTGATGTTTTATCATTGTTGTTTAGTTGCTAAGTTGTGTCTGATGTTTTTGCAACCCCATGGCCTGTAACCTCCAGGTTTCTCTGTCCATGGGATTTCCCAGGCAAGAATACTGGAATGAGTTGCCATTTTCTTCTCCAGGGGATATTCCCGATCCAGGGATCAAACCTACATCTCCTGCACTGACAGGCAGATTCTTTACCACTGAGCCCCCAGGGATGCCCAGGAGGGAATATAAAACCAAACAGAATTCTGACCTAGGAGGCAAAGCAGTGGGAAGGGGAAAAGACAAAATGATGTTTGAAAAGAGAATTGCCTTCAGCAAACTCAAATCTAGAGACTAACATTGGAATATGAATCAATGACAAAGGATAGTCACTTTTCCCTGTAGACCCTCCTCCAGTGTGATTGGGATCACAGCTCTGGAGGTGGATTGTCCAAGTGGCTACATGAACTTGGGCAAATTACTCTGTGCTTCACTGTCATTATCTGAAAAAAAAGTGACCCATAAAGTTACCTACCTCAAAAGATGGTTGTGAGGGTTAAAAGAGTAAATAAGCATGAAGCATGAGGCTTCCCAAGTGGTAATAGTGGTAAAGAACCTGCCTGCCAATGTAGGGGACACAGGCGATGCAGATTCAATCCCTGGGTCTGAAAGATCCCCTGGAGGAGGGCATGGCAACCCACTTCAGTCTTCTAGCCTGGAGAATTCCATGGAGAGGGAAGCCTGGAGGGCTACAGTCCACAGGGTTGCAAAGAGTCAGACACAACTGAGCAACTTGGCATAGCATGCACACAAGCATAAAGGACAGTTACACACAGCATGTACATGTGACCCAGATGTGATCTGATGTTACTTTTGCCCCAAAGATACAAGTAGAGTTGGCCTCGAAGTCTATGAATGCCCTTGTGATTTTTCAAATCCCTGAAACTTTGTTGGCTGGGGAAAAAAAATTGCAACATGAGAGTTGAAAGTTAAGCTTTGTGCTATGCTAAGTCACTTCAGTTATGTCCAACTCTTTGCTAGGTTCATGAAGGTTACAGATAGTCACAAGGAGCAGATGTCGCCATGAAGGATTTTAGTATTTTTCTAGATATGAGGAGATGCAAGAATTGGACTCATAAAATCTGAAAATATCTAAGTATCTGAAGACCTGTTTGGCTAGTTTTTCCGAGAGCATAGAGTGCCTCATTCCTGATATCCACCCTGAGCTCCTTTCAGGTGGATGTTGAAGGTTAAGGGTCAAACGAGCTTGTAATTTAATCCTTGCCAGAGGCAGACAGCAATTGCCCATTTTTAATCGGCAACTGACATCATCATAGTTCAGTTTCATATTTGCATAGACTGTTTCCATTTTTCTTCACCACATCCAAGGAAACAGGTGTAAATAAATTTGCAATGTGGGAGGCCTGGGTTTGATCCCTGGGTTGGGAAGATCCCCTGGAGAAGGGAACAGCTACCCACTCCAGTATTCTGGCCTGGAGAATCTGGCATGGACTTTATTCTAGGGGGTCACAAACAATCAGACACGACTGAGTGACTTTCACTTCACTTGACTGGTTTTCACAAAAATTCACCAAAAGTGTTTTTGTTTTTGGTTTTTCTTTCTACCAGAAGGATGGTGAGAGAGGATGACGGCTGTAACTTCCAAGTTCTAGCCACATTCTGGTTCCCCTTGTCATTCTTCCCCCAACCTCAAGAGGCAAAAGTAAACATTTCCTCTCGTCTCATCCAGCGTAGTTCCACTTCCTTCTCTAGAAACACGCGGTATCATTCTTCACAGGAACACAAAGACTCCTCTGCCCCAAGGATGCTAGTCCAGGAGTTTTCCAAATCAGTGTGGCTCAATTCTTACAAAACGAAATCCACTATAATTACTTATCAAGTCAGGAAAATGCCTTGGAAAAATTACTCAAGTGGCAGCATGATGTTCTATTATTCTTGGGTTGACAGAATGCACCTCATGTACCTTTAATGTTTCTAAATTCCATCAGTTCAGTTCAGTTGCTCAGTCGTGTCTGACTCTTTGCAACCCCATGGATTGCAGCATGCCAGGCCTCCCTGTGCATTGCCAATTCCCGGAGTTTACTCAGACTCATATCCATTGAGTCAGTGATACCATCCAACCATCTCATCCTCTGTTGTCCCCTTCTCCCCCTGCCTTCAATCTTGCCCAGCATCAGGGTCTTTTCTAAGGAGTCAGTTCTTCACGTCAGGTGGCCAAAGTACTGGAGTTTCAGCTTCAGCATCAGTCCTTCCAGTGAATATTCAGGACTGGTTTCCTTTATGATGGACTGGTTGAATCTGCTTGCAGTCCAAGGGACTCTCAAGAGTCTTCTCCAGCACCACAGTTCAAAAGGATCAATTCTTTGGTGCTCAACTTTCTTTACAAATTCCAATAATTCAGTTCAAAAAAACATCTTGAGCATCAGGCATGTTCTGGTATGTAGGATGCCTCGGTGAACAGACAGACAACGATTTCTTGCCCCTGCGGCACTTCTATTGTAATAGGAGGATAGAGCAATTAAACACAACAGGTAGGGCTTAGGAACATGTGAGAAGGTGAGGACCACCGTGGGGCGTAGGGGAAACACTGGCAGGGCTGCCCTGGGAGTCCGTGTGTCTCAGTGCTGCTGTTGTCTAGTTGCACAATCGTGTCCAACTCTTTGCAACTCCATGGACTGCAGCATGCCAGGACTCCCTGGAGTCCCTCACCATCTCCCAAAGTTTACCCAAGTTTATATCCATTGCATCGGTGATACCATCCAGCCATCTCACCCTCTGACGCCCTCTTCTCCTTCCCTCAGTCTTTCCCAGCATCAGGGGGAGCTTGTGTGCTTAAATAAGATGATCCAAATTCATCTCACTGAGAAGATGGCATTTGAGCAAAGCCTGAGGGAGAGATTTGTTCTGAACCCAGGAAGGCTCTTCCTAACTGTTTGTTTCCCCATTTCTCTAGCAAATTAACTTCCCTACAGTTAAAGCCTAGATCGCCTGTGCATCTTATCAATTCCTTCCAGTTGTCTTTCACCACAGCTTCTGTTGCAGGAAGAGGGACCCCTCCTAGGGCCTGAGAGTGGACTCTTGTCTAACATTCAGAAATGAATTGTCCAAGAATACACACGTGCTCACAAATGTTAGCAAGAGATGTTACTGGGAAGGGGCACCCAGGTGGAGAGCAGGAGAGTAAGGGAACCCAGCAGGACTGCTCTGCCACGTGGCTCACGGTCTTGCCTTTCATGGTAATGGGGTTAGTTTCCAGATGGTCTCTGGTCAGTCATTCTGACTCAGGGTCCTTTCTGGTGGTGCACACATCACTCACCCAAGATATTCCAACAAGGAGGATTCTGGGAGGTTGGTAGGACTTATGGACTGGTGTCTCCTCTCTCCTTTTGACCTTTCCCAGATCCTTCCGGTTGGTGGTGGCTTGTTAGTTCCACATTCCTTACCAGGACCTCCTGTTGCTCGGATAACTCATCCATGTGGCTGCTGCCTTCTCCAGTCAGGGTGGGAGGTTTCAGTCGGTGTTTCCCTTAACACTCCAACTATTTCTGAGAATACCCCGAGGCCTGCATTTCTCCATATTCTGTTGCAAATGAAGTCACCTCCCTTGGGGAGACTGAAGCCCTCTTTCTATAGCTTCCTTCTCCTGAGGACAAATTCTCTGAGCCAGGGCTCTGGTGCTAGAATGTTCTGGGTGTCAAGGACGAGGGGGTGCTTCTCTCTGAGTGACACTCCCATGTTAAGAGCTGAGGGCTTGGTGAAAGGTGGCAGCAGCCCCGGTCTCCTCTGTCTGCCTCTTATGATGTGGAGCCCTGACCTCATAAGCCAGGGCAGGGGTGATCAGGGCCCAGGACTCACTGATACCACATCCAAGGTATCCCCCTATCCCATGAGGGGGCTGGGCAGATGAAGAGAGCCCCCTTCTCTAGGTTGCACGCACTGGGACATGGCCTGGGCAACAGGTGGCTGGGCACATGATCGGATATGCTAGTTAGATGACCTGCCCCTCCAGGGACAGGCTAGACGAAAACTCTGACTAGGGGATGAGGGGAGGGACTTGGAGTGGTCTTGCCTTGCTGAGAGGGTCAAGAGGGTACAGACCCCGGTTCACATACCACAGACTCACAGTCTGTACTGAGTTTTAGTAGATTTTCTTGAATAAATGTTTCTTCATTTGCTGTATGCCCTGAGTACTGTTTCCAGAGATTTTTAAGTGATTGGGTTTATTTTTAGTAACATTCACAAGTTTCAGTGGGGAGTTGGTCCTTGAAGTTCCTCAGACTCTCACACTAGAAACAGGATCCCTCAAAAGTAATGATGTTGTGTATTTAATTCAAATGTTCAATTAGGCTTTTTTGGAACATACATGTCTTTCTTTAGGTGATCCTGGTTCATAAGGATGGATCACTGTTCTCTTTCCCCCAACCTAGAGAAGGGGGCTCTTTATCTGCCCAGCCCCCACTCATGGGATGAGGGACCTCATAAATGGCAACAGGATAAGTGTGCAGAGACAGTAGTAGTGGGCACTTTCTGGACAATTAGGCTTTTTTGGAACATACATGTCTTTCTTTAGGTGATCCTGGTTCATAAGGATGGATCACTGTTCTCTTTCCCCCAACCTAGAGAAGGGAGCTCTCTTTATCTGCCCAGCCCCCACTCATGGGATGAGGGACCTCATAAATGGCAACAGGATAAGTGTGCAGAGACAGTAGTAGTGGGCACTTTCTGGAGCATGCCACAGCCTGGATCTTTACTAAGGAACAGTCCTTCTAGCTGATACTCCCAGCAGCTCTACATGGACATAAAATTTTAAAATCCTCAGCACAAAAACTAAATTCTTCATAATCCATCCCTCACCCACTTCTCTGGTCATATGTAACCCAACTCCCCTTTAGCATTTCACGTTTCAGCCGCGTCAAATGCCAGGAGTTTTCCGGAACACCTGCTTCCCATGTTTCTGAAACTGCGTATACACTGTTCTCTTTCCCATAATATAGTCTCAACTTTGTCTGCCACTGTGAACTGAGTCTGGCTATCCAAGGAAAAGTGAGAAATATTGAGAAGATGCCAGGCTTGTAGCATCTACCGGAGATGAAGGAGTAGACTTAGAAAATGAACAGGATCTGAGGAAGTCCCAGAGACCCAGAAGCAGAAAGCATGGTGGTGCGATAGAAGTGCTCCTCTTAGTGAAGCGGATCCGGCCACGCTGTTGCCACTGTTAGGTATCTAGCAGTCCAGTTCCCACTGCCCCCCTGCATAACATCACAGCTCTCTCTTTCAGGAATGAATCCTAGTCTTTTGCTCATCTTTAAGTTACTTGCTCAAGGTTTACAGCCCTTAAGAGGAGCGTTTCATTGACTGTGGTCTGACTCTGGCTCTAGAGATTGAAGACAGGAAGGACCTCCCTCTGACTTCATAGAAGTTTGATAAGCATCTCTCATAAAGACTAGAACAATAAGAAGAGCCCTTACAGTAGGAAGGGGGTTGCTGATTGGACAACCAAAAATTAATGTTGCCACTATCATCCTTTCCTTTTGTTAACCAGCATCAAAGCACATCCTTCTTTCCATTATTAGTTTTTTTAAAATCCTCTTTAAAATGTAACTATCCTCACATATACAAAAATGCATGCGGCACCTTTGAAAAGGGACACAGCCTCCCTTCACAGCTCATATAAGGCCCTCCATGCTGTCTGGAAGGGTGCTGGGCCTATAGAAAGATTTTAAGTGCTAAAGTGGCATTACTGAAGGAGGATGACTTGGCAGATGCTAGACTTAAGCTCATTATTTATTTAATTTTTATCACATGAAGTATTATTTCGCCTCCCCCATTTGATTATAAGATTCTTGAGTTGAAGTCTGAGTTTATCCTTAACACAATATTTAGCATGTTGTAGGCACTATATGGAGAAGGCAATGGCACCCCACTCAGTAATCTTGCCTGGAAAATCCCATGGACGGAGGAGCCTGGTAGGCTGCAGTCCATGGGGTCATGAAGTCGGACATGGCTGAGCGACTTCGCTTTCACTTTTCACTTTTATGAATTAGAGAAGGAAATGGCAACCCACTCCAGCATTCTTGCCTGGAGAATCCCAGGGATGGGGTCGCACAGAGTCGGACACGACTGAAGTGACAGCAGCAGCAGCAGCAGCAGTAGTGGTAGGCACTGTATAATTATTTGTTGAATAAATAAATATTTCTTCTGAAAAAAAAATTTATCCTAATTTGGTACTAGACAAATTTAACTCAGAGTCCTGTTAGTAAGTGCAGTAAAATTCCAGAAAATCAGATTTTAAAATTTAGCTGGAATGTTCTCTAGCTGATGGCTAGACTGACTGCGTCGTCAGAATCTGCTTCTGCTGCTCCTGATCGGCGTTCTCACGTCTGTTACAGCTTACATCTACCATTGTCATGAGCATCTTTAGCGCCTGCTTTTCTGCATTTGGTTCAATTATATTATGTATTGCGTGTTTCTCTTATGCTGCAGAAATGAAAGAGTATGTTTGGTCACAGGTAGGTACCAAATTTAAAAATAACTGGATCAAAATTTTAGATATAACTGAAAAAAACTATGATGAATGATATATGTTTGCAATGAGCAAGGTATGGAAAAGACAACCAAAGTTATCAAACATCTTTGGCAGAGAAATAGTAAAAAAAAAAAAAAAAAAAAAAACCTGTATTTTCTCCAGATTTTTGTCATGGAAATATTTTTAAAATCAGTTTTACTTCAGTATTTGGAAACAGTAGAAACCTCAGAGAAAGAGGAACACCTGGGGCTACCAGGGCTGGAAGAGGCGGAAGAAGGAACAGTGTCAGACCAATACATTCCTTTTGGACTTTTACCTTCAGGCCTGTGAGAAAATACATTTCAGTTGTGTTAAGCCACTGAATTCTGATACTTCATTACAGCAGCCCTAAGAAGCCAGCATGGGAGCCCAGTAAGCAGCCACCCACTCTTCTCTCATGATCTGAACCAAAGGAGCAAAGAAGAATCAAGCAGATACAGTTGAAACTATCAGCTTTATTGTTAATTATCATAGTTGAGCACCAAAGAATTGATGCTTTCGAACTGTGGTGCTGGAGAAGACTCTTGAGAGTCCCTTGGACTGCAAGCAGATTCAACCAGTCCATCATAAAGGAGATCAGTCCTGGGTGTCCATTGGAAGGACTGATGCTGAAGTTGAANCAAACTACACATGCGCCGGGGGAAAGCATAAAACACAGATCATGTAAACACGTGTCACAATGCTCACGATACATGAGTTAGAAGGAAACAGAACATGCAAACTACACATGCGCCGGGGGAAAGCATAAAACACAGATCATGTAAACACGTGTCACAATGCTCACGATACATGAGTTAGAAGGAAACAGAACATGCAAACTACACATGCGCCGGGGGAAAGCATAAAACACAGATCATGTAAACACGTGTCACAATGCTCACGATACATGAGTTAGAAGGAAACAGAACATGCAAACTACACATGCGCCGGGGGAAAGCATAAAACACAGATCATGTAAACACGTGTCACAATGCTCACGATACATGAGTTAGAAGGAAACAGAACATGCAAACTACACATGCGCCGGGGGAAAGCATAAAACACAGATCATGTAAACACGTGTCACAATGCTCACGATACATGAGTTAGAAGGAAACAGAACATGCAAACTACACATGCGCCGGGGGAAAGCATAAAACACAGATCATGTAAACACGTGTCACAATGCTCACGATACATGAGTTAGAAGGAAACAGAACATGCAAACTACACATGCGCCGGGGGAAAGCATAAAACACAGATCATGTAAACACGTGTCACAATGCTCACGATACATGAGTGAGAAGGAAACAGAACATGCAAACTACACATGCACCAGGGGAAAGCATAAAACACAGGTCACTAGTCACTCTCATCAAATGAGAGACTACAAAGAGAAGAAGATGGGCACCAGTATAGCGTATGGTCCCATAGGTCATCTCTCTACTACTAAGGCGACTTTTCACGTGTAAAATAGAAATAAAAGCATCCAACTTGTAGGATTGTTCTTAAATGAGAGTGCTTAACATAATGTGTGACACATATATAAGTACTCAGTAAAATTTGAAACATTTTATTGTTATGAAAAATACCCCCCAAATCATCATAGGTGTGTGAGACTGTTAGGATGAATGATTTTTACCCTATTATCTGAATGTTGTTCCTGTATAGTTTTTAAATGGTTAATTAACAGGAGGAATATTTCTCTTCTTTTTAATTCAGTTAGCTGGTGGTATGCTTTTACAGTATTTACTCTTCAGCAGTGTCACAGAACTGATTGTTGTAAGCATAATCGTGTCCTGGATTGTGCGAGCATTGCATCATCCAGCATCCAAAGAAGAAAGTAAGTAGCTTTGTTTCTGGCTGACAGATCAAGATAAAACAGCTTCTGCTAAAACTCCCTCTCTGAGGGACCAAGGAACTAGCTAGACTCAAGGAACAGAAGTGTTGCTGCTAAACTGAGGTCAGTGGCAGCAGAAAATATGCTAAAATGTCATTTGCTTGGTACTGTGAAAAACTGAAGCTGAACAACTTGTCTTGGGAAAAGTTGTGGGAGAATTCTGTTTTTTAGAACTGGCATCTCCCAGGAGATTCATAGAGCAAGCGTAGACTGCAGAGGTTTCACAGGTCATACCAAATATAGGAACACTGACTGCTGGAGACTCAGAGGTTCAGAGTTAGTTATGAAATGTTGACTTCTAAAATTTGGGATCTTCAAATGCCTTCCCAGATGGCTCAGCAGGTAAAGAATCTGTCTGCAATGCAGGAGATGCAGTTTCATTCAATCCCCGGGTCGGAGAAGATCCCCTGGAGAAGGATATGGCAACCCACTTCAGTATTTTTGCCTGGAAAATTCCATGGACAGAGGAGCCTGGTGGGCTACAGTCCATGGGGTCGCAAAGAGTCAGACATGACTGAGCACACAGAAGCACAAATGCCTTGAGAAAATGAAGATTTTCAAGGCCACTTCAGAGAATACTTCTGGAATAAAAGAATAAGGATCTCTAAAATCTGCTCTTCCATTAAATACATGAGAACATTGGCAAAAAGTTGTCAAAATCAACTTTTTCAGAAATCTGGAAATTAGTTTAAAAACTTGAAATAATCCAAGAAGCACTTATTCAAGAAAAATGGCTGCATCTTGGCAAGAACAGTGAGGTCCATGGTGTTTTAACTTGTCACATTCCCATCCTCCTTGCCCCATCTCCATAGCAGCCTTTAAATTAAACAACCTGGCAACCACAGAACTTGCGAAAAACACCAGCCTAACAACTATAAGAACAGGGGTGGTATTGGAGTTCTCCAGAGAAAAGCCCTATTCCTAGAGAATTTTTATTAACTTGTCTGGCAGCTCCCTGGAAACCTCCACTGGCAAGTCCCGTATTAATCTGACCTCACTCAAAGCTTAGTCACTGTGAACAGCTTTCTCCCTGGAGTGTTTGAACAGACAGTGGCACTTAGCATCATGTCTGCCTAAATCAAGGAAGACAGTTGGGGAATACAAAAGGCTGATCAAAGTGAAAGTGAAAGTAAAGTTGCTCAGTCGTGTCCGACTCTTTGTGACCCCGTGGACCTTAGTCTACCAGGATCCTCCATCCATGGGGTATTTGAACAGACAGTGGCACTTAGCATCATGTCTGCGTAAATCAAGGATGACAGTTGGGGAATACAAAAGGCTGATCAAAGAACTTAAAAAAAAAACACCAACTGCACAGGACAATGTCCACGGTTCCCCTTGTGGCTCAGACGGTAATGAATCTACCTGCAGTGCAGGAGACCCAGGTTCCATCCTTTGGCCGGGAAGATCCCCTGGAGAAGGGAATGGCTGCTCACTCCAGTATTCTTACCTGGAGAATCCCATAGACTGAATAGAGGAGACTGGCAGGCTACTGTCCATGGAATCACAGAGAGTCGGACATGATTGAGCAACTGACATGTGCATACACACACACACACACACACACACGATACCCATAAGGGACTTTAAAACTATGACAGTAATTTGGAAATAACAAAGGCCAAGTGCATAAGCAGGGTTGTATGCACGCCAAACGAAAACCTGAGAATGCCCTAATCTCCCACCTCTGGTTGACCTAAGGCTGTCTGCAAGCAAGGAGCGATGGCTACGGCAGAGTTGCCAACTGTGTCCCAGAGCTTTAAAGACTTACCCCCAACACACACACACACATGCACGCACACGCACGCATGCACGCACACACACACATGCACACACACACATGCACGCACACGCACGCATGCACGCGCGCACACACACGCATGCGTGCACGCACACACGCATGCACACACATGCACACACATGCACACACACATACACACACACACTTGCGCGGGCACACACACACACACACACACACACACACAGCTTCTCGGCAAAGACTGAAAATTTTATTTGTTGAAGGCAGTTAAGGAAGTGAAGACCAGTGCAACAAAAACAATAATAAAGAAATAAGAGTTAAAAAAACACAGAATGAGATACTATCTCACACCCATTAGAAGGGCTAATATATTTTTTAAGCAGAAAATAATTGTTGGTCAGGATGTGAAAAAATTGAAACCCTTGTATGCTGTTATTGAGAATGTGAAATGGTACAACCTTTATGGAAAACAATATGGTGAGTACTCAAAAAATAAAAATAGAATTATCATATGAAATAGCAATTTCACTTCTGGATATATACCAAGAAAAATTGAAAGTGGGGTCTCAAAGAGATGTCTGTGTACTCATGTTCAATGGCAGCATTATTTACAATAGCCAAAAAATAGCAATCCAAGTTTCCATGGACAGATAAATGCATAAGCCAAATGTAGCATATCCATACAATGGACTATTACTCAGACTTAGAAGGGAAGGGAATTCTGACATATGCTACAACTCGAATAAACCTTGGTGATGTTACACTAAGTGAAATAAGCCAATCACAAAAACACAAATATTGTATCATTCCATTTATATGAGATACTTAGAATAATTGAAATTATAAGGCAGAAAGTGAAAGGATAGTTGCTAGAGACTGGAGAACAGGTCATGTGAAGTTACTGTTTAATGTGTATAGAGTTTCAGTTTTACAAAATGAAAAAAACTGTGGAGATAAGATAGTGGTGATGATTGAACAATATAATATACATATTTAAAACCACTTTCAAAACAATTTAAATCAATTTTAAATTGATTAAGATGTTAAATATTACATATACTTTAGCACAATTTTTTAATTAAAAAAACAATATATTTATAGTAAACTGCATTAATAGAATAAAAGATAGAAACAATCACTAAAGATTGATAGAAGGAAATATTAATAGATTGTAATGGCTGATAATCTTATCTCCTTACCTCTAAATTCCTTCAAAATAAAAATCAATCATTAATCCCTCCAAAAAAATGCACACTAATAAGGCAATCTAAAACTCTGCCTGGATCCAGAAGAATAGACATCTGTGGGATTCCTATAGGATAATGTGGGCTTCCAGGGTGGCTCAGTGGTAAAGTATCCACCTGCAATGCAAGAGACACAAGAGATGTAGGTTCGATCCCTGGGTTGGGAAGATGCCTGGAGGAGGGCATGGAAACCACTTCAGTATTCTTGCCTGGAGAATCCCATGGACAGAGGAGACTGGCAGGCTAAGTCCATTAGGCCACAAATAGCCAGACACAACTGAGCACACACACATGCATAGGAAAAGTGTGTCGAGGATATAATTGGAAAATGAAAGCAGAGAAGCAAATTGGGATCAATTTCTAATACAGCTAAACCAGCTTACAAAAGAGTTTGGAATTTAGTCTGTAAGTAACAGCATGCTATTTAAGGGTTTTACACAGCAGTGTTTCTTTATCAAGCTTTATGGTTAAATCATTATTTCCATGAGAGTATTTTCTGCAGCACATTACAGATCTCCCAACTCAAAATGCTTAATTAATCAGAAAACATGTCTTATGATGGCGGGTTCCCAAGTAAGGGTCTCCTGAATCAACTGATTCAATAGCTCAGTGATGGTATCAGCAACCCAGGTTCTTTCTGTCTTCCTCTGCAATCTTCAGCTTAATTTTAAAGTTGTAAGATGCATACTTCCTGGTTCACATCCAGCAGAAGGAAATGGTTTCTCTTTCTCAGAAGCCAAAGGGAAGCCTTTCTTTACCCTACACTGGCCCAGTTGCCTTAGTCCAGCCCCTCTCTGAACTGAATAATGGAAAAGGTGATGAAATTGCCATGATGAATCTAGATAAAGGTGTAGGAGCATGATTTTGAAGTCACTCACCTGAATAATAGAGATAAAATTGAAGAAGAAGAAGCCTAGAGAGAAGGATAATTAGATAATTGCTCCAACAGAGGCCACGTTAGAGCCAAATGATGAATTCTTAAATTTGCACTGCAGAGAATTAAAGAGGATAAACTTGAAAGGTATTTAGGAATTTTATCAATATTTCATATTTTCAATGTTTCAGTTAGGTTTACACTGAATGTTGCTCAAAAGCTAAAATTAGTAGATACAGGAATAGTAGATTAGTTACATAAACTGCTTATGCTTTATTTCTGATTCCAGTGCTCCTCAATAACCATTGAGCTTAGCTTTAAATGCTGATCTGTATTTCGCTTGAATATAAAACTGTTCAAAATGTTCATTATTCTCAGTTTTGTGTGTCTGTGTTAATGTAACAGTATTCTTCTACAAACTTAAAATGCAAAAACACCAAAGCTTTACTGGGGCGGGAATGACACTATTAGCATCAGAGTGCCTTCTGCAACTATAGAAAAGATTAATTGTGAGTTAGTGAAGAACTCCATAATTTTTTTTAAGAGACCCCATGGAAAATGCATTCTAATGAAGTCTTTTTCAGTACTCCTTTTTCCTACCTCTTCAATAAAGGATGCAATTTGATAACAAGTTGACTGTTCCTTTCATAAAAGCCAATCTGAGTTGACATGGAGAAATGCAGTCAGTCTGGGGAATATAGGAAAGTAAAGTTGAATGCCCACTTTATCTCACATTGGAGGAGACTTGCTGAGTGAAGGGACTCGATCTGAAAGAAGGAGGCTAACTTTGGAAGCAGGCAGGATGTCGATGTAACAATAGCAAGATCTTATGTTTTTATTCCTCACCCATGGTGGCTCAGATGGTAAAGAATCTGCCTGCAATGCAGGAAACATGGGTTCAATCTTTGGGTTGGGAAGATCTCCTGGAGAAGGGAATGGCAACCCATTCCAGTAGTCTTGTCTGGAGAATTCCATGGATAGAGGAGCCTGGCAGGCTACAGTCCATGGTGTCATAAAGAGTTGGACATCACTGAGTAACTAACACACTTACAAAACGAAATATAGTCCCTGGCCCACAAAGCAGATGCAAGGGTTAATGACAATACA